TAAGATAAAAATGTAAACAAATTAGGTTTTAAATTAGACAACAATAAGCACTAATGATGAAAATCACAGCTCTAAAACCTAGACGAAACCTCCCACAACCTCCGACTGTATAATCAAATCACAATTGCGGTAATCATATGTAGAATGTGGCGTCAGCAACCACAAAGCTATTCCACATCAAAGAGCAAGCGAAACAGCTCAATATTGTATGAGTCCGTCTATTTTCATATTCTGCGACATTAGCAGATTACAGATAGAAATCGTGCACGAAACACCAAGGCCGTTGTATAACAAGCTTATAATATAGCACAATAAATTATATCTAGACAGCCACAACGACAAGTTGTAAATAACGGAATCCCACACACAGAAAATTTGGGATAGATTGGATCATCATAAATTGATTTTTCAGGGTTAGGTAGGATTACGTGACGGTATTACGAATCAAATGATAGATATAGTGAAGGGAAAGCTAATAAAAATGAAATGATATTAAGAATTTTAACGTATATCTTAGTCTCAGTGTTATAATTCATTTTAATTTTCGAGATCTTTATAGAACTGGGACTCAGAAAGTACTGACTATCCTCGACCACATAAAGTTCCTCGTTTTCAGGGGTGTAATTTCCCTGTATGCTCATACAGGAAGCACTCACCTCACACTTTCACCCAACTCATTAAGTTGTAAGCTGCAATTTGCGGAAAACTAAGAAATTTCCGCACAACTAAAGTTGGGAACATACCTACGTGATTCGATCTTTTTGTATCCCCTTCTGAATAAACTACGTAAAGAAGGGAAGACCCGTGGAATATTTTTTGTGAAATATTTGCGAACGGACAACACGATTTCTCTAAGATATCATTTTACCGTAATAATGACAGATGTTTACAATTCCAAGGAAGAAAGACAATACGATTGAATTTTTTGACAAACCTCATTTATTTTGATTGGTATGGTTAAAAAATATTTAATTAGGTAACATAACAATACGATATTTAGTAACAGCAAGTCTTCTGTGGGTATGAGTACAACACGAATCCGTATCCAAGCGTCCGGATTAGGGATGCGAGGCTAGGATCGTATGTTGTAGCGTTGTACCGATCCCTGGGGAAAGCCGAAAGCCTATGCTCAGTGGACGTTTGTGACCAGATACGCTTTTAATCGTAGACAGATTGAAGCTACCGGCTCAACGTGAAATCATAGAGAATTTATTAGTCATACCAATATGTCAGTTATACCGACCATTAATTTTATCTTTTGTAATGTCATTCGATCGTTAATTTTACGACAATTCGTTACTTTACGTCCTTCTCATTACATAAAATGCTAAGTGAGTTTCGGAACTATTCATGATCATCGACTACTAAGGTATAACTTTATAAGTCTAATAAGCGTCTTGGTTAAATGGTCCTATGGTTGCTTTTTAATTTTACCTAGACCCTAATTTATAGTCATAGTTTTCTAAAATAACCTGTCGCACGCTGTAACAGGGAAATGGTTGCCAACAAATTGTGATTTTCTAACCGATTTGATATAAACAATATGTTTACATTGGCAGAAGGGTTTATGTGACACCTGCGTCCTCTACCGCTTAAATATTGAACTACTAACGTAGTGTGAAGTTTGACATTGATTTGTGGCTTTATTTACGTTTACCTGCCTTGTAAATATAATTTTAACGAAAGATACATTGCATATGTTATTTGTTAAGATTTTGATATGAACCAAGCTGTTGACTGACTTGTAAAAAATCTCAACTTACAAACTGAATTTACTTTTTTGTGTAAACATTTCCTTTTTTCTGTTTTCTATAAACTCTTCGTCGAAAGATAAAATTTAAATAATGATAACAAATAAATCGTTTCCTGATCGAGATTGTACGGTTCTATTTGCAGAACGGCTTGATCAATTGAGATAAAGTTTTCGAAGAAAATAATGTACTAAAAACATCACCATTCGTTGAGACTAAAAGTCTCTAAATCAGTGAAAAGATTTTGTCTTACTTATTAATTTTAATAGCCACCTTTTACAAAGAGTAATATTATTGTAATTAATACAGCAATTTTGGAAAAATCAGGGGAAAATCCGTGAGTAATAATTACGTTTAAAAATTGATAACCTTCATTATTTAAAGTCAGTTAATTGTGGTCTGCGGCGACGAGAAACGTTGTCCAGTGCTCATAATCTAATTGTCCTTCCCGCGCAGAAAGGCAATAAACTTTTATTCATTTTATTGTGTAATTAACATTCAGAAAATCCGAATTCATTTTGCTTTTATTTACTTTATGAAAAAATCTTTTTTTAAATTTGACTACATAATTTAGTTGTATGTTTGTTAATCTTGATTTCAATTTCATTTCAAACTAACAACTTCCAGGCCGTTTCACCCGCTCTGCTCGGCTCCTATTAATCGTGGCGTAATATTTTATACCCTTCCTCTGTGAATGGACTATCCAACACAAAAATAACAGCCTACGAACCTAGTAGCACGTAGTGGTAGCAGCCTACGTACCTAGTTATTAGTATGTCTCGCAATAGTTATTATAAAAACCAAAATATTTTTTTTAAATCGGACCACTTGTTCAGGATGTATCTCAGGAGATTAGCGCGTTCAAACAAGCAAACAAACAAACAAATCAATGAACAAACTCTTCAGCTCTATGTAGTTAATAGTATGAAATCTATAAAAGTATCGATTCCCAAATCAGGAGACAAAATGGAATTATTAAATATTGATTATTTTATTAAGAGGAACAGTAAACAGTCACATTATAAGCTTAGCTGATTTTTGTACAAAAGACATTCACATATCTATTTGAAATGATTATACCTAGTAAAGTCAAGTATCTATTCCAGTCTATTCAAATTTCTCCAGAAAAACAGTAGAAATAATAAACTGTAGGTTTAGGCACCTTACGAATGGCTCTCCCTAACCCAGTAACAAAAAACAGATGTGCTGTGTTATATTTAGAAAAATTATTTCAGTCTTCGCAAATTAAAAAATGTGAAGGTCAATTTGTGTTGTTTATGAAACCTTGCGAACATTCTGATTATATTGTTATGGCATAAACACATCATTATGTCATAATTGTTATTGCAAAATGGCATGACATTCGCTATTAATGAGAATTATCACAAAAAGTAAGGAATGCAATGACGTAGTACTTGTTTAATAACTGGTAGATACTTGGTAACTATAAATGCATTACAATGTAACGTAGTGACGTCAATTGTTTAAAACATTTTCGACTTTATTGCAAAAATCTAAGGTTGAAGATTTATTAAAAAACATTTGTTAAATTGGGATAACTTGATATACTGGACTGGTGTTTGTATAAATGAATGAATGTTTGTATGAATATACAAACTATTATTTAGTTACACATTTTTTTATCTTTACATATGAAAAAAGACCATGATTTAATGATTATAGGTTTCAATATCCAACCATACACCTACCACAGTAACTTCCCAATCATAAAAAAGTTTATTTAAAAAAAAACAATGAGAGTTGTAATTTATGTGCATTATCAAGCTGTCATCGCGACTTAACCTGTTTTGTGAGGAACACGGAATAATGAAACAGAGGTATTTAATACGCGCAAACTAAACACGCAATGCTTAGTTACCTTTAACATTTTTGATGGGATAAGGACCAACATATTATTCTATCTAGGTATCTGTATTAAAAAAAATATAATATAGAGACTAAGTATATCTCAATTGTATTCATAAGGTTTATTCGGATATTATCGTAATAGTTATGGCAATGATGCCAGTCTTCTGTGAACGTTCCCAGGTGACAGTGATGCGGACGAGTACGTTGACGCCTAATTGAGGATATTTTAAACCGACTTCAAAAACAGGAGGTTCCCAGTTTGATCTCTCTCAGATTGATGATGAATATAATATGTTTCTGAACAAATACATACAGTCAATTGAATATAGTTATTGTAATTAGTCTACGATTATATAATTACACACTGACACACTCCTTGAAAACTCAGAAAATTAAAATTTTATAGACAATGCGCTTGTCTACAAATAGTACTTCTTTGTATATTAAACCAGTCTATAAAAAGCCAGAAATAAAAAATTAAAAAGCATCAATAGCAAAGGATAAGTTTAAATAAAAATACGTAACATCACGCCTTTTATCCCCGAAGGAGTAATCAGAAGGGCACATTACGGCACTTACTGCTTCTGTACAATGTATCACCCATTTTTCACTATTTATGTTATGAGTCCCAAGTAATAGGGGGTGAGCCCATTGCCATATACCGGGCACAATCCTAGACTACTGAGATTTAAAAAAAAAACCAGTAATACTTTGTTCGACACGAGAAATGAGCCCCGAGACCCCCAACTACTACGACCACTTAGCCAACGAGGCAGTCTCAATTTAAATAAATACCAACAAAAGAAACTAATTTATTTCTTTACTTTCAACACTATTCTATTTATAGCATTACAAGAATTTCTAGCTATTTCTTATTTAAGTCCCAAACGTTAAACGAAGACAAGTAAAGGTATCAATTGAAGGGCCCAAGTAATTAGATAGTGTTAGAGGTTGTTTGTTTGAGGCGAGGTGTATATTTAGTAAACAAATAGTAGACTGCCATTTTGGTCGAGTAACTGTAGTGAGAGGCTGCTACTGATCGCGGGATATTGGGTTGAGCAAAGCAGTACTGAAAAAAAATTATTTAGACACTACTGACAAACGGTGAAGGAAAACATCGTGAGGAAACCTGGACTAACAATTTCTAATTATAAGTTTGAAATCGCCAACCCGCATTGAGCAAGCGTGGTGATTAATGCTCAAACCTTCTCATTGTGAGAAGAGGCTTTGCTCAGCAGTGGGCATTTATAGGCTGTTGATGATGAAAGCAGTACTGAATTTTTCGCTTTTTTGTAAATATCTCAGAAACAGCAGTGACTTTTGAATAGTGTTCGGTATATAGCATTAGCTTTACCACCACATAGCACTCACAATATATCTTCAGCGTATATAGGTACGTTGGTTTCTTCCGATTGTAGTGAATAAATATAGCACAATATGTAAGTGTGTGTAAACAAGTGTGGGAGAGCCATGCTTCGGCACGAATGGGCCGGCTCGACCGGAGTGATACCACGGCCTCGCAGAAAACCGACGTGAAGCAACGCTTGCGTTGTGCTTCTTCGTGTGAATGAGGTTACCAGAGGCCCAATTACCCTCCCCTTCCCTAATCTCCCCAATTCCTGAATCCCCAATCGATCCTCAAACTCCTAATCCCCAAAAGGCCAGTAACGCACTTGTAACGCCTCTGGTGTCCATGGGCGACGCCAATTGCTTCAGTAAAGTACAAAAGGTTCTAAAGACGAAAAAACAAATTTAAAAACACACTTTCATTCAAACTTACTTTCTCCGATTACTTGCAAATATAACATGCATTTACTATTTAAAGCAAAAATATCCCAAAATACATAAAAATATAAATGTTAACCTACCATTCGTAATCGTAATTCGCTCGTCAGACGTTTCAATATGTCTTATCTCTTATTGTTTCAACAGGCGTGCCCTCAATCACACAGGATTATCCCAAGGGATAAGTATAGGCACAATACATAAATACAAACATTAGCTATATAGGACTTATCGCATTTCTACAGCAAATTAGATTTTTTGCTTCGTAATTAACTAACGTCTTGTCTGTTGAAAGTTGCGGCCATAATGTGTTTTATACCGGGAGCCGGTGTTTCAACATAATAAGAGGCTAAAAAAATACAAAAATTCACAAATAAATGTTCAACCGCTGTCCAGCTAAACAATAAAAAAGCAATTGAATATAAGCATACATAATTACTATTAAACAAAAGCAAAGTAACATCTATTTAGTTCTCACTTTAGACAGCTGTCACTCAAATACAAAAAGCTGAGAAAAAAATTACTTAAATTAGCGTATAATTTCCAATTTTCCACGAGCACGTCATCCCCTACGATGATACTCTCGTCGCCTGACTAGAACACGTCTATTCTTAAGCGACTATTGATAGTTTTCTTCAAAGGATCGTCGAATGTCGATGTCTCCATGAATGATCGATGTTCTAAAAGTAGCGTGCGTGCTGGCCTGTCAAAGGGGCGCATCTGGCTTCTTGTGATAAGCTGAGAGCTTCCTCAACTTCAACAAGTGTTATAAACCAATTGAACTATACTTTGTTGCATTTAAAGTTATCTTTCATAAGAGTACCACATACATATCACTACGTGTGTCTAACAGATACATCTATATTATTATTTATCACAATTTTTCCAAATCTTGCCGGTACCGGTAACCGCTTGGGGACTGGCCTAAGCGGTTACCGGTGACCGCTCTCCACATAATCAATTAAAGACCTTATTCCCGATGTTTAGAGACTACTTTTGCATGAACAAATGTTGTGAATATTTTATAAGAAAAAGGGGTTTCAGAAGATAACCACAATATAAATATAATAATCCGTGATAATTGTCACATAACATTTGAACAAATGTATTTGCTGATCACTCTTTTTTTCAATAACAAATATTATAGCACTGCCCTCCAAAATTCACTAGCGGACTTATAAGTCAGACTTTTAGGCACCAATCTAAAGATGTTCAAACAACATTTTCTACTCGATTATTAATAAAAATAATAAATAAAAATAAAAATCTTTTATTTTCATTTATAGGTGTCGACGGCCCATAGAGTGTTAGTAAACAGTACAAACTTAAAAAACTATGTTTTACTTTACACGAGTACAAAAATAAGATAAAACAAAATAATACATATACAAATACAAATACAGAACAGATTATTATTAGAAGCTTTATCAAGCCCCACGTCTGATATGCAGCTTGATAAATCTTGATAAATTATTCAGTTAGAATATAAACGAGAATTGAAAGACGAGGTTAGTTACATTTAAGTTAACCAACAAGTCAAATTCCGTACAACATTAATTAACTGAACGTAAGTTGTGTTATGAAATAAGGTAGGCGATTAAACATGTAACATGAGAAGTTTAGAGGCTCAGAAGCTAGTTGTTTAGGCTTTTGAACTAATTTCAAGACAATCCCATTTGCTTGACGTATACAAAACGTATTTACATGTTTACATATTAAAGGACTTAGTGCTGGTATTCTAGTATTAGCTAGAAACGTGTAATGAACAAGGACCAGCTTTATACGGGTACAAAGTAAGGGACTAATTTAAGTGTGGGAGAGCCATGCTTTGCCACGAATGGACCGACTCGACCAGAGTATCACTACGGCCTCACAATAAACCGACTTGAAACAAAACTTGCATTATGTTCCGTCGTGTGAGTGAGGTTACCGGAGGCCCAACTACCTTCTCCCCAATCTCCTCAATCCACGAATCCTTAATAATCTAATCTAAAATCCTAATCTTCAAAATGACGGTAACGCATTTATAGCACCACTGGTGTTTCGGGTGTCCATAGGCGGCACCGATTATTTATTATCAGATGTTCCGTCTGCTTGTTTACAGGTATATTCCATTAAAACTCGTCAAATAAAAAATGTACCACAACAATTCCAATGCCTCTACAATTATACAATTAAAAACCACAATTAAAATATTGACGCTAAATTTAAATTAATATGGTACCCAGAAAATACAGAACCATTTTCTTAATGAGTAAATAACAAATTAGTACAAAATTAGTTTTCCTACACACAAGATATCCGAACGGTTGATGTTTTATCCGATCGAGTGAGTGATGAACTCGCAGTCCACACGGACGCAACCAGTTGACAAAAACCAATCGGGTTTGGATGAATTTAATCTATCTTTCAGACCCTTATTCAGAATGTAGTAAACCTTACTTTTTTGTACCAACAATAAATATTTTAGTTTTTGTATTAAATGTTGTCAAAATTAAAGTTTGCTTTAGTTAACAGAAAATAATATTATGGTCATTCTCAGCGTGTGCGGAAATAGAATAGATTAGAAAAAATTTACATGTATTTCATCGAACGGTACAATGCAATATTGAGCCTTAAGCAATGCATATGTAAAAAGAAAAAGAAATCCTGAGTTACCCTACTGCTATTTTTAACATACTAGGTAAATGCAAAACATTACAGAAAGCGAAAAGTGCGTCAAGAAAAAGGTAATAAACTGTAAATTTCTGGCGGTCCTTTTTGGAAAAAACATGAGTCATGTTATATTACGTCACAGCCCAGCATCACTCTATGTCGACGGAAAGGGAAACGTTCACAAAAAGGACACAATAAAATTTTATAGACTGTGATTCGACCTGCATCCAAGAACGTTCCATCAAAATGATTAACGGGGGCACACTGCGAAGGCCAAATGCGGTCAAGAACAGACAGTGGGCCTAACAAATGGTCCTACGTTACAATAAGGCAAGATTACGACCTCTCTTTATCACTATTTACTATTTTTTGGTCCTACACCCGTTTTCTTAGAACATTATTGTTCTTATTGTATCTTATATGTCTTATGTCACTGTTTATTGGACAGTTTCGATGTAATATTGTGTAGCAGTTGACAGAGGGTGGGCGATAGTTTCGCGAAAATACAACCTATCGATAGAATGAAAAGGGATTACAAAGCAACCAATTGATTTCAACTGTAGTTTACAAAGTTCGTCGTTTGATCTTGAGATTTTTCTTTACCGGAATTTTTCTGCTCACAATCCTATATCTTTATCGAACCACGATGTAAAGGTTTTTAGTATAAATGTAGAGAATGAAACTATCCTAACCTATATTAAAAATCACGTAAGAACACCGAAGTCTGAGCCCAGACTAGACCTGCTATAAAAAAAACGTATTTAACTAAACGATTATGACGATGTTAAATGTTACCATTACCAGTATAGATAGAGTCTCACTCTACTATTTGAGATTTAAACACACCACCTTACCCAATTATCTTGACTCCAAAAATACTAAAGACTTCACTTAGGATCCTGTTCTTACATTTTCAAAAACAAATCGGATGACTTGTTGCCGATTAGAGAGGCACTCTGGTATTCGCGTGAGATAACTCAGCAGTGGCCGGTCAATTACCCTGATCCTTTTAGGTGTTGATCGATAACTCAAGAACCTTTAGCGACTAAAGTGTCTTCTCATTACCGAAAGCGAGTTTCAAGGCTACGTTATATGTTATGACACAATATATAAGTATGTTTATCTTTATATGGTTCATCGGTAAAAGGTTTTTACTATATTTAGTAGACCCAATTTTAAGTGGTTGTTTTAACCTTTGTGGTTGCTTTATTGTCTTTGGGAGGCAATATTATTTTCTGACAGAATAGGCTAAGGTTTTTTTATGGTATAATCCGGTAAACGAGCAGACGGATCACCTGATGGTAAGCAATCGTCGCCGCCCATGGACACCTGTAACACCGAGGCGTTTGGACTGGGGAACTGGGCCCCTCCTCAGTTCCCCAGTCAGGAGGAGGGGCGTAATTGGGCCTCCAGTAACACACGACGAAACACAACAAGCGTTGTTTCACGTCGGTTTTCTGTGAGGCCGTGGTATTACTCTGATCGAGCCGGCCCATGCGTGCCGAAGCATGGCTTTCCCACGCTTGAAATTGGTGTTGCAGGCTTTATAAGTGCACCGTTTTTTTTTTTTTAAGGGGGGAAAATCATCGAATGACTGCTCCCGCCTGGGTGAGGCGGAAGGGAGTGTCAGACTCTTACTGACTAAAAACCACCCCGTTCCTTCTCCTGCACGTCAAGTGCACCGTTTGGAATGAAGATCTATTGTTAAACAATTATCCACTGTAGATTATGTGTTTCTATTGCAGTACTTACTGTTTTTTTATAAAGTACTCTTTTCATGTGAAAATGCTAACTTTAAGGACAGTAATAATATTCAGTAAAAAAGAGTCATAAAACTGAATGGCATGAGCTTAAACCTAGTCTTGAGGCGATTTAAAAGTTAGATCAAGTACAAAAAATTATGAAAGTAGATATTTTCCTGCATAATTTTCAAATAAGCTTCTTATCAAACTAAACAAGCGGTAATACATTATCATAAAATGTATACTTTGTATTAAGTTTAGCCATAAAATTAAGTTTTGACATTTAAGTTCAAAGTTTCTGTCAAAAATTGAGAAAGACTACGTTTAGTTATATAGTGTTTAAGACAAATTATATTGCACTAATTTTAATTCCATTCAGAATTTTAAACTAAAGAATTAAGTAATGAATTAACTGAACTATATTTCAGCCCTATCTATTCGATAAATAATTATTAATGATAAGTAATCATTTATGTGCAATAAAGAATGACTGGATTCGTTTGCCACTAGAATTAGAAGTAGAATAAACACACGAAAATGGTTTGGAAAACAAAGAAAAAATGCCTGGAATGAATGCAGGACGTCTCCATCTCTGGATTTGTACCTAAGTTTATAATAGCCCGCATTAAAAGTTTTACCACGGAACATTTTTCAATTTACCACTATCAAGAACCACGATGCCGTTTCTAGACAGCTACATAAACAAAACTTCTCTTTGCAAAACTACTAGAGTACTAGCCTAGTTGCAAAGTTCCTCGTTCTCACTTGTAATAGAACGAATGATTGAGCATTATGAAGTAGTTACAGGCATATCACAAGTTTTCTCTTGTTGTAGTTAGAAAATATGAAAATTGTACCCATATGTTTGGAAAACGTTACAATGATTATTGTTAGCGATGAGTGCATATGGACACCCGCAACACCAGAGGAGACACAGGTGCGTTGCCGGCCGTTTAAAAAGGAATAGGTACGCTCTTTTCTTGAAGGATTAAAGGTAGTATCGGTGCGGAAATACCGCTGACAACAGATCATGTCACAATTTTGCTGTGCGAGGCAGAAAGCTACGAGAGAAGCGTATAGTTGTGGTCTGCCAACCATTTATATGATGGGGATGGTTATGCTGTCGTGAGGATCAATGGCAAAAAGACGCGGCAGGTATCATACCGAACGATTCCTCATAGCACTCCCCATGGTATAAGCGATAGAAAATGCACAACGAAGCTACATCTCTACACATTGTCAAAGTTCTAGCCAGTTGTCTATATGTCACTCGAAAGGACAGTAGGTATAAGAAAAAATTAAAAGCGTATTGTATGAGGAGGTTAATTACATCACAAATATTCCAATCATCACAATTTTCAATTTGGTTGCAAAGAAGGATGAAGTTGTAGAAGCTATAAATCCGCCGCAAAGGTAGTGTACAACAACGTTACATATTTATATAAGTATCTATACATAACATTTTTAGTAGATTGCCATTATTTTATTAGACGTACTTCTAATTTTCCTGTCATAACCATAACGCGACCACACACCGCTACATAGCCACGGAATTACATTTCCGAGTAATGGAAATGACATTAACTCCCAAAAGTATTGTCCGATATTTTTGATAGCACTAATCGAGAAACAAATTAACCACAGTACATTATTGTATGATGCAAATATTTCCCTAAATGCACATATAATAAAGTCTATAGTAAAAAAAAGCCAGTCACTAAGATGTTATTAGTTCCATGTTGTAGAGAATGTGATCCGATTGATTGCACACGGGACACAATTCCAGGCACTGTTTATCTAATTGGAATTCCGAAACTAAACTACCAACATTATCTAAAGGATACTGCTTGAAATTAAACCTGAAGCCACAATAGTCCCTCAGCAGACGCGTTCACAATCGACATAGTCGAATGAAGCAAACAAAATTGAAATATTAGCCAACAAGAAATTATAAAAAAAAAAAACAATTAATAGAGTAATCTAAACCCCTAACCAAAGAGTATTTATTTTTTTTTATTAAATTTACGTAACATGTTATAAACAAAATGAAGCTCCAAACAATACATGGTATTATTTCTCGGCTTCGTTTGATCGCAACCACACTAGCTTTTCCAATCTTAATTAGTTTTCGATCCCACAGGAGCCATGTACGTACCACAATATATGGCTGTACTCCATTTTAACGAGTTTTTCGGCACTAAGCTGCTGTTTGCGCAAAGCAAACCAAGAACGCTATGGTGGCGAGAAATCCGTTTATACTTTACTAACAATATAAGCGAACAAGCGGATGTTGGGAAAACTAGATTACCTAATGAATTCCAAGCATTAGTCTAATGAATCTCAGGGAAGCTACGAAAAAATACAAGGCTTAATTTTACTTTTGTAATCAACTGTTTTGTGTATAATGTTTGTGAAATATCTCTTTCCAACGATGTTAAAACAATAGTTGTAAAAAAGGACGGCCACACTTAAAAACATTAACATAAAAAATCAACGATGCGGTAGAAACGAACTGAATATTTAAAAAGATATTTAATGCAGAAACACGGCCGAGGCACATTGCAATATATGCCTGCCGACGTCCCCGTATCAACGCAGGGTAAATATTTGCTCAAAACATCAACTTTTTATTCATTTTTGGGGACAGAATTATTTTCTGCAGCTTGTCTACACACCTTTCAACTGAGAAAACACTCTATCTAAGAAAATATTGGACTATCAGTAACCGTTCAGTAAATATTTTGTAATATTAAACCACTTTAGAAACTTTCATAAAAACATGTCGTTAAAACTATGTATAATGTTCAGTCTGCTAAGTTTTTACAAGCACTCTACCGAGTCCTTGGAGAGAACAAAACGAAAATGTCTAGCGCTTTCAACTGCCCACTTCACTTCTCGTCCTAAAGATATTTTTGCTATAATTAATATTTACTCATCACAAATGGTTTCAACGGCCATTTTAATTCATTTCCATTTTCCTACGAATGTTCTAGACTAGAGAAATAACATAACATAACATCACGCTTTTTATCCCCGAAGGGGTAGGCAGAGGTGCACATTATGCCACTGTACAATGTAACACCCACTTTTCACTATTTATGTTATGAGTCCCATGTAATAGGGGGTGAGCCTATTGCCATATACCGAGCACAATTCGAGACTCCGTGCTACTACTGAGAATTTTTAAAACCCCAGTAATACTTTGCCCGACTTAGGAATCGAACCCGAGACCCCTTGCCCGGCAGTCGCACTTGCGACCACTGACCAACGAGGCAGTCTAGGAACAAAAGCAACTAGACAAAATTAAATACTCGTTGAATAAACATACGTATAAACAAGTTCATTGACTTTGTATCGGCTTGTAGCTAAATTATTGCGGTGTAGATCAATCGATAGATCTACGTTGCCAACCGTTGTTTACGGGACGCGACCGGTTACGTCAAATCATTTGAAGTTTAAATTTGTCTGACATTTTAGTCTAACCTAAATATCTTGGAAATTTAAAATTATTTGACATTTAGGTCTAACATTAAATTCTAGTGAAAGTTTTGTAAAGGTGGGGGAATGAATTAAAAAGGGCACGAAGAAAGATGATGGATGGTCTCCATTTCTCTTTTTTGCTTGGGTCCATTCTATGCAACTTTTGAAAGCTATGAGTGTGTCTGTTTGTCACTTTGTTTGTGTAATTACTTTTGAAAAGGCGTTGAATACATTGCTTTGAAGAAAATAATCTGAAAAGATACTAATATTTTTCTTCCATTTCCTGTTTTTTTTATTTTTAAAGCAATCTTTAGGTAAACAGGAAAAATAACAAAAGTCATCGTAATTTTTTTACTGTAGTGACATATTTCATTGGTCTAATATGGTTTACGATTTTAGATTCATTTGTTATAAACTTTTGATTTTTATGTAAAATACATAATTTAAACAACTACTGAATATTTTAGCAATCTACTTATTTGTTGTATAAGAATATTTGTCATGTTAAATAATCAAACTTGTAATTAATCTGCCTTCCAGTTAACAGTTGAGAAAATAATTTCTTTTGAAAACGACTCAACTCTTGAAAACCTCATTTCCTCATACGAAGATATTTGACAAATAAATTTAATTAAATTTACACCACAATGCGATGAAGATGCGCCATAATTCATTCAAAGCTGAGACATTTAAATTTACATACGAAGCTTGTAATTATAAGTGACTACTTAAGACTTACTTTCATATTAATACACAAAATTAGAAAGCAGTAAGAAATGTTGCACATACAGTGTAGCACTCATGTATTTCTCCAGTTATATTATCAGTCCTATGTAATCGACAGTAGGTTTATAGCCACAATATACCGCTTACAATTTCAGGCTCCTAATTTTCTTTCATATGTATGAATATGTACAATGTATAGGTATATTCATGTAGATGACTACCTCGTTGGGTTCGATTCCTGGGTCGGGCAAAGTATTATATCTTATAATACAAATAGTGGATGTTACATTGTGACATTAAGTGTCGTAATGTGCACTTCCGCCTACCCCTTCAGGCCTAAAAAACGTGATGTTATATTATATTCATGTAGATATTTATGTGTTGGTACTTTATAAATTAATAAAATGTCACACTTTCAAAGAGAATCGTGTATTACATTATTTATGAAATGTCACCAAAAATACATTTATACGTACTGACGCTTTTATTTGGAATGTTATTTAAAGGTGTATTATTTTAGTCTCCTCGATATTCATACTGGTTATGACTCTACCAGGCTTACAGTCCTGAACTCGCTTACTGTGATAGACATCCCAGAAACATTATCTCAATATACTTAGATTAGGACATACAAGTGTGGGAGAGCCATGCTTCGGCACTAATGGGCCGGCTCGACCGGAGTGATACCACGGCCTCACAGAAAACCGACGTGAAGCAACGCTTGCGCTGTGTTTCGTCGTTTGAGTAAAATTACCGGAGGCTCAGCTCCCTTCCCCCTTCCCCAGTCTCCCCAATCCCCGAATCCCCGACAATCCTCAAACTCTTAATCTCCAAAAGGCCGGTGATGCACTTGTAACGCTTCTGATGTCGACGCCTATTCCTTACCATCAGGTGATCCGTCTGCTCGTTTACCATATGCCATAAAAAATGATCAATAATTGTACTGAAAAATAAAGAAAGATGTGTTATATTTTCTGTTTCTTCACACAAGTCATTAACCCAAAACTATCAATAACTACTAAACTACAGGTGCCAATAAAATCATTACCTATATCAAATAGGATAATCGGTTGTGTGTTCCGCGATTATAATCAAAGAGAGGGGGCGATACGGGCAAACACACGTTATTTAATGGGGGAATCACTGTTATGCATTCGCACCACGTTTGATCCAACATACTCGGGACACGTGACCAAAGGATAATCCCACTTTAGTTTGCAATAAAAATCATCTGTGAGTTTCGTTTATTACTGCTTTTACTACATAACTAGTACATTTTAGGAGTAATCTGTACGATATTCTCATTCAATTCTTTTTAAATTCAATTTGTCAAATACGACAACTGATCTTTTAGCACTATTATTTTATTCTCGTTCCGAACTCGCTTTAGTGATTTGTTTTAGTTTCGTTGACGAAATATCCACTATGTCGCTGTCCTTGTCATTTTGGGTGTGACGTCACTGGCGTGTTACTTGTTTTCATTTTTCCTATTATTTTAAAATAGTATATACTATATACTATACCTACTTATATTTCATGTTTTACAAAATAAACTGATACGTGGAAATTCATATTTTATTATCTATAATATTATTATGCTAACTTAAAAAAGAAAATTCAGCTATTTAATTAAATAAATTAAGTCAAGCAAATCTACAGTTTTAAAATAAAATAATAGTGTGACTGACAAAATTTGGTTTAATCTGTGTCAGTTCACTCTGCGATGATTAATTTCTTACACAACACGATATCTATAAAATCTTCCTTCTTATAATATACGACGAAACTATCAGATCTTTTCGCGGTACCACAATGGTAGTCTTTGTGTGAACTTCATGACGGTTTATCGCAATCAAAGTTGTAACACTGGCCTTCGATAGTGCAGGCTCTTTGAAGATCGACTATTGTTAGTGGCCGCTGCAGATAACGACATAATGGACAAAAGTATCAATCGAAGTCCAGAATGGATATTCTTTACACATTTGTTGTGAAGATGTGATTGGTAGCGGCATGTTGTAGAGAATAGAATTGAAATATAACGTCTAATAAAAAAAATTAAGATAATGTAGACCAAGCACCAAAAATCTGTTTCAAATAACTTAGAATTCATATTCACCAGTTGAATTTTCCTAAACATAATGTAGTTTCTTTTCATATTTTATAGGTCGACGTTTGGCTACAATCTCGATAATCGATGTTGCCACCTACATATTTACTATAGAACATTGTATAGGCCTAAAGTCCACCAACAAAATTGAAAAGCAAAATCAAGCATTTTGATTCTTACATTTAGGTTAATCCACTCTTTTTACAATAGTAAGACACAATGAAGCATACAATCATTCACGAAAAAAATACAGGGCTACATAATACCCTTTAACACCAAGTAATTGGGATGATGACAGGGTATGAAAATTAAAAATCTAATTAGTCCATCAGTTAGGCAAAGAAAAAATGTTAAACACGTATTTTTTTTATTTTGTTGTATAATAAAAAAATACTTAGATAAAACGAATCTAAGTTTAGGAGTGGGGGCTAAAACGTCATTTCTACGTATAAAATGTACATAGAAGTGACGTCACGCGACATTTCAAATCAATATATCGTCGAAAGTATTCGTTTCTGTAAGAAAATAAAAAATACGTGTATAATGATTTCAAATAATCTCCAAGACGGACATTGAAATAAAAATTAGGTATCTACCCTATTACTACCTAGTAATTCTGAATTCATCTAATACCATTATCAACTACGTCACGCGACCGCACATTAGTTCCACAGCACACTATGCGACAATCACTGGTGTAATTGATACATCCTACAGTACAATTACGTGCACGTACAACTTAATGGCAACTAAACACCTATTGTCAAATCATTGAACGTTATATGACTTCATTGATTCTATAGTAGAAGTCTTCCATTTTAGTACGTTATTTTCTATACCCTAAATACAGAATATACATTAGTGACCCCCAAATTTGTGTTTAGACTGCCAGACATAGAATATCTATTAACTATAGCCATAATAGCAGTCTACAGCGACTATTTTTATGAATGGTCTGAATACCAATGATAAGGTCGCAAGTGTGCATTTAAAAGTTTATACTATAATAGTTCAAAATTTGATAATTGATACTTTTGTAAGATGCTGTCAAGTATTATTACCGTACTTGTAACCGTAATGTTTATTTAACCCGTATCATGGAAATAAAAAGCTCTATTTTAATAATACATCATTTAATTCTGACTAATACCACGTCAAAGTATTGTAAGATATTTTAATTGGCATTTTTTTGTGTAAGTTACGTTTAATAAGCCTGTTCCATCTGTTTATATATCTATTCAATTAAGATTTAAAGGTAAATAGCTGTAGAAGTGTTCCAAAATAAATTAGACTGCACGGTTGTCGCGGTAACAAGGCAACTGGCTGCCGCGCAACGTGTCGCGGGTTAGATTCCCGCATGGAACAACTCTTTGTGTGATCCACAGATTTTTATTCCTGGTCTGGGTGTCATGTGTATGTGAAATTGTATGTGTGTAAACGCACCCACGATACAGAAGAAAATCCTAGTGTGGGACAACGTTTAAAAAAGAAAAAAATTGAGAAGTTAAAACCATCAAATATTGTATGTTTACGACCTTATAAAGTAAGTATTTTATGATTAGTTATTTTCCACGTAGAACCTACTTTGCCTTGTATGATAAATTATTCCCTAAACACTTGATAGGTGTACTCACGTCATACATAGTTAATGTTCCACCAACATACAACAACGTTCTTAAAGATAAATAATGAAAATAAACTTCTACTTGTTTCTCAAGTAACGCAGTTCAGACAATTGAGTAAAACAATTACATACTTTGCTCGTTTTTTCTTAATAATAAACAATTTTATATATGTTTATTTTATTGAATAAGCCGGTAAAAAAGTAGACGGATCACCTAATGGTAAGCAATCGGCGTCGCCTATGTACACCCAGAACACCAGAGGCGATACAAATACATTTTGGGGTTTAAGAATTAGGAATTTCGGGAGAGGAGGTAATTTGACCTCTGGTAACCTCAATCATATGATAAAATTCAACGCAAGCGTTGTTTCACTTCAGCTTTCTGTGAGGCCGTGGTATCACTCCGGTTGAGCTGGCCCGTTCGTGCCGAAGCATGGCTCTCCCACACTCAAAACTCGTGGAAAACATTCCAGGCAGAACTACCTAATTATTAAACTATAATGACATTCAATAGTAAATTGTAATACATGACGATTAATTATATATTATGATACCTAAACGATATCTTCAATAATCCTCTAGAATCGAAGGATAAAGTAGGCCGATGGTATCGTCGAAAAAGTTACATTCCAAGTTTAAGTTCATAAAAAAACAAGTATAAAATCTCTTATATCGTCTACATCAGTGCAACGTGTCTTCGATCCTTGAATGTATGAAAAAAAATAGTGAGTTTACGCTCAACTTATCGTGATTGTCACACGGATAAATTGTCTCAAGAAAATGCGTTGGATGACTAGTATTTTTTCAGCAGCCGGATCCATAAATTTTCATCAATACTTATCTTTCTCGTGCTCAAAATTGATGATGCTTTTAGTTGTGTACACGATTTTCATCATATTTTGTAACAAAAATATGTTGATCGAATAAATTGTATTGAATAGAATTTGTTCAGTGTTCATGTCAGGTATTTATTGAATAACAATTCGTGACTACAAAATGAAAGCCAAATTCAATTTAATCTTCTATCATATCAACTGTCATGGAGTAAATTTATTTTATGTAGTAGGTACGGTAATAATAACAATAATTGTTATATTTTATTTCATATATCAATTTATAATAAATCTGTTTAAAATTGATGAAAAAAATGATATTACATTTCTACAACACCAACATTATTTTTAAAACAAAACTATCAGAATTTAAATATTCAATTTTTGCGATGAGTTTTTGAGAGAAAACGATAAAAAAGTTGAATACGAGTGAAGAAATTTTATACCGAGTACTCATGAATTATTAAATACTTTACGCTTTATTGTGAAAACCATTAAAGGATTCACATTGAATAATATCTAATGCATTTCTGATGCACATATTTTATTCATATTTCGATTTTTTGTTTTATTTTTCTCTCACGGTATTCTATTATTATGTGCACTTTATTAAAAACATTTTGTAGGTTTTTAAAAATTTGATGCATACTTACTTAATATACTTTCATGCAATACATCGTTCTGCATCTTACCTGAAACAAGAAAATGATTTAATTAAAATAAAGTATTAGGCACGTGTACATAACTCATCCAGTCTTGCTACATCACTGTGACGACAGGACAATTTCTTTCGTCGTAATCTCAGCCAATTTCGTAAATTAATGCGTTGAAATTATTCAAAGCTCGCAGTCTGACTCGAGATTTTGCAAGTACCTACCTATATTTAAAATTTATCAAGCCCCAGCGAGAAACACTTAATTCTAATAAGAAACCACAATCCAAGCTTACAAAGTTTCTGCAATTATCAAGACATCTTAATAAACATTTAAGTCGCTTCCATTCTGCCGTATAACAGTTGACAGAGTTTATACAGTACGTTTCAAGATACTGCACAAACTCGTTAGCTATGTCAAGCTCAGCGAACGTTTTATTAGTTTTTGTTTGAAGTCCACGAAGGTCGCCGTTTGTTTTTATTCTTTGGGAGGGAAGCGTCCTGTATTTTGAAAACACTCCACGAGCCGGAGACACTGTCGTAAATAAAATACCTGATAATTTATTTACAACCAAATAAATAAACAAAGAATACAAAAGGACACGAATAAATGTCTTGTCTTTCTTTACTTTGTGCTCTCGAGCC